CCCATGCTGCTGCTGCTGCTCATCTTCGGCGCTCTCCTCATCTATCTCCCTCTCTTTCTCTCTCCCTCTTTGTTGGACAATAAATTTTGACGGATTAGTGCGCTTATGAGTGGCATCGCCAAAGGACTGCGAGCAGGACAAAAAGACAGAGAGGGAGAGAGAGAGGGAGAGAAAAAAAACTATTTGGCCTGAATGTAAACTGTAATAATAATACCCATTATTATTTATATATTTATTTATTTGGGCTGACTGGAATCGAGTCTCTGTGTGTGTGCCGTATCAATTTTCATAAAATATCGATAGCCGGTTATTGATAACCGTGTCGAAAGTCATTTTCTATTTCCACTCCACACTGCAAATGATGCTTCCCAGTCCCTGCGATTTGCCTCCCCCACCTCAAGTCTTGATAAATTTCGAGCATTTCAGCCCGGTTTATAGCACGCATTTATCAATTCTATAGAACAGGGTAGCAAACTGAGAAAAAAAAATTGAAATTACCAAATGCTAAGCTAAATAAATGCGGAGTTCTAGAAAAATATTGATTAAATAGGTCTATTAAATAAAGTTCATTCAATACGCATAAAAAATGTGAATTTAAAGCAATTCGAGTATAAGCAACGTCTTAGATTTTCATATTTAAACTATAATATTATTAATTTAAGTCATACTTATCCTGATGTTACGATTGAATATACTTCAGAAAAGAGCCACTGCAGAATCTCAATTATCTCTTTCTTCACACTTTGAACTGTGCCATCTATCATCTCTCACTCAATTGCTCAATCACTCAACGCACAGAAACACACACACACATCATGTAAATATTTTCAAACTATTCTTAAGGTATTCCGATTTAAATATCAGATTATATGCAAGCACCTGAGGGATTTGTTGGGCCGTGTTACCTGTCCATATGCTAAGCCTAATTATCAGCAAGTCGAACTCATTGACCCATAAAAGAAGACAACGGCATCTAGATCCTCTCGTCTGAGGACCCATTGACAGGTGTGCTGTACGTGTCAAGGGATACGGAAAATTCATTATAGACGTTGCTATCGCCAAATATCTCGAATTCAAATGTTCGAAATTAATTACGTCGAGACGACAGAAAATTGTAAAGAAAACTAAACTCAAAGCAAAGGAGCAAAATACGATGGTAGAGAATAGATAATACACGAAGGGAGATACGCATAGGAAAGTGTGCGATAATAATGACAAAGAGCGCAAGGTAAGGGAAAACTAAGGTGAAGCAGAGGCAGCAACACCCTAGGAAACTGGGCTCAGCTCTTGTCGGGTTGAATGCGTTCACGTTTATGCGGTTGCACGTTTCAACGGGGCCATGGATCGCGATATGGTCTATGGGCGAGGGCGACGGCAATGGCAGGGGCTGGCGGGCGTGGCACTTGACAGAACATGTAAATGTGTTTTCCGTATACTGCGCGACGCGCAGGTAAAAAAGGTATATTGGTTTTAATTGAATGTAGTTTATAGACAGAGCGTACTCTTAGCTGCCGTTTGATAGATGTGATTGAGTGGAGGAACTTTTGAATGCATGTGGGTGGGGAAAATAGTACTCAATTTTATATAGTTTTAAGAGATATTTGAAGCGTAGATTCTTAAAGCAACATATATGCATTTTTTATATATAAGATTAGGTGGTTGAGAAATGGTTGGAAAATATATATACATATTTACAGAATAATTAAGAGATACGATTCCAAGATTCCAATAAAATCTCTCAATAATAATAATAAGTTGCTGCTGTGAAATCTGATCTATATATATACATAAATACATATACATAAATATATGCACTATAATAGTCTTAAATTGGGTAATCTTTATATCTCAATAAAAACTATATATACTCTCCTTTCTGGTACAGCTACATATGTAGGTTCAAGCTTTTCATACAGTAGTTCATTCGTAATCTCCTCTATAGATATAGTGTATAAAGTTTTATCCATATTGAATCGATTTAATTATTTTCTATATTGACTTCGGGTATTAGACAGTCAATAACACTCGATTGCACTGTTCTCACTTGTTGTCTTTGTGCAACATAATTGGCCTAATATATCTGAGACGGCTTTGTCCTAATGTCTGGGCCAAAAGAGACACGTACGAGCCGAATAGTGTGTGTGTGTGTGTGTGTGTGTGTGTGTGTGTGTTGGTGTGTGCTGTCTCTCATCTTTGGCTTATGATTTTATCAGTGTTTGACTAACGCACCCAAATTTATATACATATATATATATATTTTTTTTGTCTTCTACGAAATATGGGTGTGCTGCCCATTGCCCAACTAAAACCAAAGCACAGCAAGCGAGAGAGAGAGAGAGAGGGATAGACAGAGGCCTGTCTATGCGACAGAAACGAGCCCAAAAAGCAAACAAGCAAACAAACAGCTAGCAAAGCATTAACCAGGTGCCAAACCCCTCCCCGCACCCCTTGGACCGGCAGCTCCCAGCAGCAACTGCAACTCCATCTGCAACAGCGACTCCAAGTCCAGACAAAGTTTGTTTGCTTAACTTTTGATATTTTTCAGTTAGTTAGCTTTAACTGTAAATTGCTCACGGTTGGCCAATACGACAAGAAGCAACAAAACGTAGAAAAACGAACCTTGGCATTTCGAGAGCTGTTGAAGCAGGTGGAGCAGCTGCAGCCGTTGGCTCCAACACAGACTCCAATGCGCAAGCCGATGAACTGCTGATTGAGTAATTTAGTTAATTTGGCTTGCAATTAGAAAATATATCAAGCCTTTAGCTGGAATTTAATTTATAATAGAATGAGATATGTACGTATGTATGTATTATGATGTGGAGGGTGTTCGAGTGCTCGAGTTGATAGAATTTTTTAGGGAAACACAGTAGCCTTATAGAAAGAACTAAGCAGGAGGCGCACCGAAAGCATGTTTGTTGGCATTCAACAAAAATCCATTCAAACGAAACAGGCACAAGCATATAGAGAAAATTTATTATATTACTAGGAAAATATATGGAGATATGCTAGATATTGAGTTCATCAGAAGCAAAATGGTAGATCGCATTTCTAGTCTGATTCAGTGCAAGGCGGCGTCGCATGTGGTCAACATGCTGAAACAGAAGGAGAGGGAGCAGATGAAGATAAATGTCGTAACGAAGATGGTGGAGCAGGATGTGGTCGACTCCTTGTTGAGGACGGCTGGCGCTAAATTCGTCGGAGAGGTACTGCAAATGGAGCAGCAGTCGGAGCCACATGAGCGGGAGATGGGTGGAGGCGATGGATTGCATAAACAGCAGCCAGGCGAGGATTGGCCAGGACAGAGCAAGCAGGAGACGGGCGGAGGGGATGCCCAGATGCAAGAGCAGCCAGGCAAAGATTTTATTGAGGAGCTCTTCCGACAAACTGATGCAGGCGATGCTGGGAGAAATGATCCACAGCCGAGAGCGGATTCGGAGGAGCACTTGCCTGAGGAACTTCATCAATACAAGCCCTCAGATGATTTACTGCTCGACGCTCCACAGTCGAGCGACGATGTGCATCTGGATTTGCCTGAAAACAAGTGTGACGATGAGCGAAACCATCAACAGCTGAGAGAGGACTCGGAACAGCATTTGTCTGAGCAACCCAGTCAGTCGAGTGACGTGGTGCATCCTGCAAATATATCCGACGGCTATCATCCACCGATCAGCAGTTCACGATCGAGCGAGTATCTGTTGGCAGAATCCGCTCCAGACATGTCTGAGAGCGATGCAAGGCCCTCGACGAGTCGCAGCACAACGCTGAGCCACGAGGAACTGGAGCAGCGCATGAGCTGGCGGCTGCAGAAACTCGCGCAGTTCGAGAACGAGCAGTACGCGCTGCCTCCAGACGGCGAGGAGGCGCTGCGCCGAAGGAAACCGCAAACATGGCCAGAGTTTGCTAGAGGAATGCAAGGCAAAAGGGATTCGTAAAACACACAGCGCTACGATTTAAGGAGCAAAAGTAGATAGCCAACAAAACAACAAAAAATTAACAGTTTCGACTCGTGTGTGTGTGTGAGCAGCTCAACATACAAAATATACATACATACATATGTATGTACATACATACATGTATGTATGCCAAGCAAACTAAAAACTACACCAACAATGTCACACGGAGAGCGAAACTGTGCGAGGCGCAGGCAATGATCGTGGCAAAATTATAACAGTAGAACAGTATGACAGTATGAGAATGTATACACATCACATCATCAATTAGTTTATTTGTGTGCGTGCTACACAACATACATGCATACATGCCTACATACATACCTACATATCTCAGTATCACATCGCAAATAAAAATGCCAATGCTTAGGCAATTTACAGTGGTTCACAATTTATTTTAATCACCAGCTAAATCCAACTTTTGGGCAACAAAAAAAAAAAAGAAAATAATATTAATGTTGGTATAAATAATAAGTATTATTAAATAATAAACAAAACACAATAAATAATAAATCATAAACAATAAAAAATAAATAATAATTAATTAACAATAGATAACAAATAATAAATAATAACAAATAAGTGAAATAAAATAAAATAAAATGAAGTGCTAAAGCTTTTTCAACCAGTTACAACTACATTTATAAAGCTAATTTTATTATTTTTATTGAAAACCGGTTTTTTAATTCTTGTATATTCTGATATACTTATTTATATATGCTCAATAGGTTTTATTTATTATTTTCCTAATTTAAGTTCCTTTTAAAGTTTAATGGTTTTTATAAAATAAATAAATTCATTTTAGGGGATGCGACCGCAACACTGCTTTTAAACATGGTTTTCTCTTCTCACTGATTGAGTCACTGTGCAGAAACAGCAGAAATCAACCCTAATGCGACTATCGGTATATTTGGTATCGATATATATGTATTTCTTTGCTCTCAGCTTTGCATCGATATTTATCATTCATTCGAATGCCAGAAGTCAGCTGTTGCTTGATCAACATTGCGCTTTCGCGTTTGCGTTTCTCTTGTTCTCTTCGGATTTTATTTTGACTGCATAAATATGACGCGTGAGTTTAAAAGAAAGAAATGTGCATAAATATTTATGTGTAATACTGAATCGCGTCCTATCTCACTCACTCTTCTCCTCTCGACAGGCAAATGGTCGAAAAAGGAAACGAAGTTGTTGCTGCACCTCTATCTGAAGTACAAGCGAGAGTTCCGAGAGCGGCACAAAAAACGAGCAGAGATCTGGCAGCATGTTGTGAGAGAGTTTGAGCAGCATGGCTTTAAGGCCAGCTACATAATGCTGGATCGCAAGTTTCGCAACATGAGCCGCACCTACTTCAACATCAAGCGTCTGAGGAAAGACGATGATCCGAGCTGGGAGTACTTTGACGCCATGGACGAGATCTTCTCAGGTACGTTGCCCGAAACGCGTAACATAACGATTACATACAAAGAGCCGCCCGAGGAGGAAGAGAGCCAGCAGGTCTTTGAGATCAAAACAGAGGAGCCTGAAGTCAGCCCATCTGAGATACTGCTGGATGAGCCCAACTTCGAGGAGTTGGTCTCTAGTCGCATCAAAGAGGAGCAGCCAGATATCGATATGGAGAGCACGAGGATAGTGCAAGCTCTGGAGGCTGAGCGCGTGGAGGAGCTGCGCGCCATACGAATCACCCTGGAGGAGGCGAATGAAATACAGCGACAACGGAACACCCTGCTGCAAGAGCGGAATGAACTGATGAGGCGCTACCTTGGCAATAAAGTCAAACGTACTAATCCGCATCTATTTAACTTAATTAACTAGTTTAGCATTGATTGATTTACATATATTCCACTACTAACATTTTATTTATTTTTATATGCATATTTTTTGTATGCGTATATCTGAATGGTGTATGTATGCAAACGAGAATTTATATAGGAATCTCTCTGTTTTAGGGGTGGGTTTTTTGTATCTGACTATGACTATGGCAAATTTATAAGGGCTAAATAGTATGTAGTAATAATTTGACTGACTTAAACAACATTTGTATTTATAATATTTTTTGAATATCAATTATATCTAAATATACAACAAGAATTATATATCTATATACGCATATTTGTATACATTGTGTAAGCGTATTGCTATAAAGCAAATGCTACGCGGGTAGCCTGAAAAATTATTGACGTAGCTCATATAAAAATAATAATATTTGTAATAATATTCCATTTGATTATACTTTGATTATTCAATTTATTATACTTTAATTATTGTTACATATTTCCTCTATAAATAATGTGCATAAAATTTTACACTTATAATTGAATCAGACTCCCAATATCTGTAGTTTGCAGAGTAAATAAAAACAATATGCATCATCGCCTAAAATTTTGGCAAAAATAAGAAATGAAAAAAGTAAAAAACTGTCGCCTAAATTAATTAAAATTGATTTATTATTGTGGCGACATCGCTGATCAAAGGCGAATGACGTCAGCTCATGGGATCTGTTTGTTTATCATTCCGTCTGTCTGTCCGTCAGACAATCCCAGGCCCAAGCTCAAATCCAAGTCGAGTCTGGAAATCCGATAAATATACGCTAAGTGGACAGCTAATTAGCGCAATTAATATGTTAAATATAAAAGCCGGTCACTAAAACAAGAAACGCTGAGAGACACGCTAATGAAATTAACATAGCGTGGTTAACAGTTTTATCAAATTTGAAAACAAATTTTCCTCATCTCTGCATGAATACATGAATAAATTGATGGATTCTCTGGCCGAGACTTACAGAGGTGTCTCTTCGTGCACTTTTGAGACAGTTGAATACCCTTTCAGCAAGCGGTGTCAGGGGTATTCCGGTTGGGGATGAGACACCAAGCAACCAAAAAAAACAAAAAAAAAACAAAGTCTTTTCAAAAAGGGAGTAAACTCAGTTTACAGCTATAGAAAGATATGACAAAAGATTGCCAAGGAGAGCGTGTGAAATGTTTAAGAATGAGACACAAAGGAAAGTGCATTACGATTTGGGGTTTGTATAAGAAGAAGAATATAGTCTTGCGCTGATACATGTCTACTTTAAGAGCTTTTGAAAAAACACTTTAAATATAAGAAAGGTAGGGTATATAGATTTCCATCATATTACTGCTCATTTTCAGCTGTTAAATCATTTCTAATTTTATTTCTCTGTTAATTGTGATTACCAAATGGATGAGTCGGCGTTAAAATGTGCACGACTTTTTAGGGACAGCGGAAAACTACGAAAGCCTAAGAACTGATTATACATGAGGTGAACTAAAGGGTATGTGGGCTATGCAGAAGCAACGAGCTAATTTGTGACAGCGTGGAAAATTGTGAGGAAAGTGGTTTTTGATTAGAGCTATTCTTCTACTTAAATGAGGGTATTCAAATCTTAAGCTGAGCTCAATTTCGTAGTTGTTTCTTAATTGGAAGCGATCTCTATTTAAATGAGGGTAGTCCATTTTAAGCTAAGTGGAAAAGTTGCACTATATTTCTGTTTATAGTTTTTATTTCATATGAGTTAGTTTCTATACGACTAAGGCCATTCCATGTTAGGATGCCCTGAAATGTGTGAAAGTATTTTAAATTTATTTATTTTTCTGATTCATTAATGAGGGTAGCTCATTTCAAGTTGAGAGACATTTTTTGACTGTATCGCGGCTAGTCACTATTTAAATGAGGGTATTCCATTTGAAGTTCAGCTCAACTTTTAAATGGTTATTATATAATTGTAGATATGTATACTCTCTATGAGTAGGGGCTCTGCATTTCGAGTTGAGTTCAGTTCGCTAGCTATTGCTTTATTAGGAATAGTCCACATATAAATGAGGGTTTTCCATTTGAAGCTCACATAACACCTCAACTTTTAAGTAGTTATTATTTAAATGGGTTTCATCTCTGTTTGAGTAGGGGTATTCCATTTTAAACTTAGCTCAAAAAATAGTTGAACTTTTTATATGGATACTATTTTAATTAATTTTGATTCAATTTTTTGTATTAGGGATAGTCTGTATGTTAGGATGGTATTCCGTTGGTAGTTGAGTCAAGTTGTTCAACTGGTTTTTAATTTTGGTAGTTGGGAATTTGATCGACTAATTGGAAGCTGGGGCGCTACGTAGAGCTACGGGGGAATCTGCTTCAATTAGACTTTCTTTTACAATTTCAACCGAATGTCTGCCGGCGGTTCTCTCATTAACTCAACGGTGCGGACAGAGCTCTCGAATTTGTGCAGGCAGGCAGGTCGAGGACTCCTCCCTCTGTCTCTCTCCCTCTCTCTCTCTCCGGCTCTATCTGTCGTGACCTGGCTGGCTGGTGGGGTATGCACGGAATGTTCGTGCAGTTCAGCCGGGGCCCATTGCCAATTTCCGGGGTACCAAAAAACGGCCGTTGGGCGTAAATTAAAATTAAATTCAAATGGAAAAGTGTCGTCTGTGTGGACGGCTCGACTCTCAACTGTCGACTGGCCATTCCCAACGTTTGTCCTGTCTGTTTGTCTGCCCATCAGTCCATCTGTCCGTCCGTCTGTCCGTCCGTCTGTCCGTCCGTCTGTCCGTCCGTTAGTCGGCAACATTTTAGCAATTATATTCGCGTTCGGGCGACATTACAACGGCAATTACACGCAGAAGGCAGCCGCAACGTGGGCGAATGAACATGGGCCATGGGCAGGTCCTGTTTCAGGTTCTGCAGTGCTGCTGGCATCCCTGGCATCCTTGGCATCCTTGTCAGTGTCACGTGAAGCGGCAACGTGCTCAACCGACTGACGCACACACACACACACACACACGGACACGCACACAGTCGGTGAGTCGTCTGATGGACGACATTAACGTCAACGTCAACGTCGACGCTGTCATTGACAGGCGAGTTGCTCCCTTTTGCTGATCCTGTTGCAGGTCGAGGTCCTGCTGCTGCTCCTGCTGCCCCACTCCCAGAACGTTTCATTGATTCCATAAGGAATGCGAATTGCGAATACCTTACCATGCCTAAACACACAAATTATTCCCAATTGTCAACGCATTAATTGTTTAGCTGAATATTTCTAGAAATTCCGTTTAGATTCCACTTGTTCCTCGTAACCTGTTTTATATGAAGATTTACAGCACAAATGTTGTTTCTCTCTTTCATTTGTTTGAAATTTATAGAAATTCTATAAGTACAATAGCTGTAAATTTCATTGCTATTCCATTTGTTTCAGGCTGAGATTGTGTGAGTCTTAGTTAGAGTAAGTGACCATTATTGAATTCGGTAGCAATGCTATCCAATTATAGCTCTGGCTTTGATTCCGTTTGTTCCAAAGCGAAACCTGCGCCTCAGTTTACTCTTTATATACACCATTTCAATTCCACTTGTTCCAATTATTAAATGGAATGGGATGGCAATAGAATGACTGATTGATTAGCTTAGCTTGTATTATAATTTAATAAGCTGTTGCGTTTAATTCCAGTTGTTTCTCTGTTCTCTCTGCCATTGTGTTTCGTTGCCAGTTTGTTTCACATATGATATTCGAATTATACTCATGGGCTTTCCTTTTTATTTTAGGTGTTGTACACATGTCCTGAGGCAAGCTGATGTACTTCGCATACCCTACACTTTTTTGTAATAAAACTGAGCAGTTAAAATATGAAATTTGTTGTGTTTGCGCGTGTGTGGGTGGCAGTGTGTGTATGCGTGTGTGTGCGTGTGTGTGTGTGGGTGTGTGTTAAATGAAATAAAATAAATGTATGAAAGCAATAACCAAGCAACATTACATAAAAATCTACTTGGCCCAGCTCCTAATGACTCTCCTTCTCGTCCTCTGACAGACGTGAGCCTATTTACGTGTGTGAGTGTGTGTGTGTGTGTATGTAATATGGCCGACACTTCCGTTCGACATGTTGCACATGTTGCTGCCGTTTCCGTTGTGCCATACACGCTGGCCACGCCCCCCACGGCCCCACGACCCACGCGCCCAATGGCCCCGTTGGGTGGCAGAGGCCATGTGGCCACTGGCATAAAATACAATATATATACAAAATTGGTTCTGTTCTTTGCCAGTTGTTGTTATTGTTGTTATTGTGACTGTTGTTGCTGTTGTTGTTGTAATGAGTATTGGTATTGTTGCTGTTGTTGGTCACGCATGGTGTTGGCTGTCGCTTGCTGTTTTTATTGCCAGCACTTCCTGCCGCTTGCTTGTTTCATAATTAATATCCTTTCACACATTATTATTACGGAAATGAGACGGAGAATTCAAATATACAAATATATATACATACATATGTATGTACATATATGTCCTTTTATATATTTTCCTTATAATTATCCATGAATAGGATATACAAATTTTTATTCGTTTTACTATTATTATGAATACAAATGCAAAGATATTATTCTTTAAAAAAATGTATATATGTATTAATTTTTATAATTTTATAAATTAATAAATAACTTACAAAAAAATAATAAAATAAAATGTATTTCAAAAAGTAATAATATTTTGTATTTAAATATTTCTCAACTACAAAATAAAATACAGTTCCTCAACTTTTAATTGAATTTTCATACATCTTGAATTTGTGACATTTTACAGGGTATTTGCCAGGCAGACTTTCGGAACGCTTCTTCCGTTTTTTGCGAAAAGCTTGTTAAGCATTTTATGCGTTTGGTTTTTCATAAATTTTGGACATACTTCCAGAAGGGCATACACGTCTCGTACTCTCTCTCTCTCTCTCTCTCTCTCTCTCTGTGTTGGTTTCTGCTCCTGGGGACGGTCTTGTAATTAAAAGCTCATGAAAAGTGATTAAAAAGTGAACTGCGGACAGCAGCCC